GGTCGGAGTTTGGAACTTTTATTGAAACAGCAGTTTAAGAACAGCAGTGGTATTTAGAAGCAATGAAGTCCAAGCCAATCCATCCACCCCCCATCCCTTTGGGGTTGGGCTTATATATGTTAGAGGATGGGCATGGTTTACAGTGAGTTTTCAAGCACCGGAAACAAGCCGGAAATGGTACAAGCATAAGATTGAATAGGAAGATTAACATGGGAAACTAAGGGTTTAAGCAGAAGAATGGAAATTAGCTTGATAAGATAACAGCTAACGTGTAAAAAAGGGGCAACTTAAGGAATGTAGACATGTCGGAAATGATTTATGGTTTCATCCGCATTAAGATACAACGGCAAAGAAATTTATCTGACTATTTGTTTGAGGTTTCGTTTTCACGACATCATTTCTTCATTCTCCCTTCATTGAAAGTCGCCTTCATTTGGTACCCGAAATAATCCAAAATAGTTTGTTTACTGATTTGATGATCATTTTTCTGGACTTTTTGAGCAGTAATAATGAGAGGATTGTATAGATGTCATTGTGGAATCTTTGCCATTTGGTTTTGCTATACTTTAAAAGTAGCTCGATGAGTTGCAATAATAATTCGAAAAAATTGTCAATCCTGGTATTTTGTACCGTTCATTTCAGACAGAAGGATTAACAGACCGATGCGACAAAAATGATTTCGGTGTTCAATATGCAAATTTTTTGTGTTTCAGTATGGTTTTCGTTACATAATGCGATTGCAAAGCATCGATTATTTTGGAAGTAAAAAGAAAAAAGACAAAATATGAAAAATTCAACTTTCGTTTCACAGAATGCTGTTTTGCCGTTAGCAATAATAAAAGATTTATTTAAATTTTATATTGAGAACAATGTCTCATTCATATACCAGTATTTGTGCCAACGTCGGCAATAGAAATACCACGGAACAATGAAACGTGTAAATTAAAGCCAACCAATCCAACGAAGCAAAACTGCTTCATCTGCTACGATTTATAATCAGACAAAGAATCATGGAGTCCTGATCCTTTTGCACTATAAAATTTTTTGCTCGAACCACAATTTTATGTAAATGCGATTATAACCGGCAATATATTTCAAAATTGTCACCAAACTCATCACTTGTAAAATTACCAATTTTACATTTCTAATAACCATAACTGAATTTACAGGTAGTCGAGAAGAAATTAAAAATAAATGATGATTAACGGATGACTAGTAACTCTGTGTTTCAAATGTTTCAAACACTTTTGCGTTTGTCAGAACTTTAATCAGTGATGTGATTGCATTTCTGATGTACACAGAGAAGTTGTTGATTTCAATCATTAAAAATGTCACAAATATGAAATTCAGCACATATTCACTAACAAGACAAATCATAATTTAAAAGCAAATGCTATTATAATCGCCAGCATATTTCGCAATTGTCATCAAATTCTCTGAACTCGGAATAGAATGAAGAGTATACTACAATAATGTTGCATGCAATCATCACTAAAAAATGATGATGCATTATTATTAAAAAAAAATTTAACTATTTGAAATAATTAAAACTCAAAACAATTGTTTTTAAAATTATGCAATTAAAATCAAGAGTAAAATATTTACAAAATTTGAACTGATCAGTTGGAAAGCTTCTGTTCTAAGTAATATTTAGAATCAAATTCGAAATCCTTTGCTAAAAAATTAACTTTTTTTTTCAAAACTGTAATAAGTAGATTGTATCTCTTTTAAAGAATTGTATAATCAAATAATTGGAAATTTGAAAGAATTTATAAAATGATTCATCTGTAATAGATGTAAAAAAGGTCTACAACGCTCCATATAACTAGCAAATTCTCATCGTTATCTCATCCTCAAATCACTCTACTGCACGTTTCATTACTGTTACTGGAATTATTCTCATAAGTTTCCGGAAATAAAAAAAATGTTCAACATGACTAATGCATTAAATCCAGGACTTCAGCTCTGAGTTTATGTGCTGCTATGGATGCTATAAAAGCCAGCTAATTTGATTATGACTTTTCAATGTAACTAACAAAAAAATTTCAGAGTGTTGTAAAGTCAAAATTAATATGCAAAATGATTACAGTTCATGATTCTCTGTGTGATTACAGATTGTACCGAAGTGTATAAAAAACAATTCACAAAAGTAATGGACAAGAGATAAAGTGGATGATATAAAGATGTCGGGAAATCCGAAATTAATCCATAATACAAAATCATCAAATAAAATTCATTAGAAATATTCCCTAGTAAAATGTATAAATTTATTCTGACAAGTAAATTGAAGAAGCTACATTTTACAACTTGTCACTGTTAGATTTTATTTCTTGTCATATGACTTCATTGTGTTGCTATAATTCATTAAGAGATTGCTTTATAACGCCTTTGCCCCTTAATTGTTCTTTGTCGTTTATGAAATCGATGCAGCTAACAAGTAATCCCAGAAAGCTCTTTGTCCTCTTTGCTTCTTCTTTCCCCAACATGACATTATCCTGACCCTGAGCTTATCTATTAAGCCCATTATCTACTATCCTCGTACCACCCCACATTGGGATATAGTCAAATGTATCAGGAGGTGAGGCCGTCTTTTCATCTATTTCAACATCCGTACGTTTTCATGCACCTGTCATTAAAAAATGTAACTGCTAATTTGCATCATGGCTAATTCTGGCAGCTTTACGCAAGTCAACTTCAGTTTATTGTCATCAATATATCTATTCGATCCAATAAACTCTTCAATTAGTATAGCCACCAGATCAAATTCAACAGTGTCTGGAACAAGTATTTAGACCAAGATCCAAATGACGAAACCAAGCCTAATCCATCAGATCGTAATCGAATAGAACGATCAACTCTCACCTCAAGGAAATATAACTAATCTCAGAATCAACTCAAATTCAACTCAAATTTAAAACCATCCACCAAGAAATCTTGCATCAACAGATTCGATTGTACCACATAAACTACAAAGCTTTCCAAAATCAAATCAAACCAATAACCTCATCAAAAAATTTCACAACATAAGACTTGTATTACAAAAGTAACCACGAAATGGATAACGGATAAAATGGATGATTGAAAAAGGACAAAAATTACTCAAACGTTGAACGGAAATTTTCTTCCAATTATATTTTCTAACCGGTAAGATTGATAACTTTGAAATAGGCGGGGCAGTTTGTGGCGAAATATCGATTGCGGGTGGGTTATTTTCGACCAGCGAGTGTTTGTTGTCAGCTTTCCTGGAGGGACAGGGGTTTCTGGATCGCTATGGCCTGGAACGATCTTCTTCAGTGTCTATTTGGTAGTTTTTGGCCGGATCATTTTCATCAATTTTAGGGATTTTCTTATTGGTAGCTTGTCCAATCGAAAAATTCTTTCCCTTTGTATTAGTCACTAATTTATTGTTCGCTCGTTTTCGGTTATCCATCATCGATTGCAGTGAATTAAATAATTAGCCGTCATCGTGAGTAAGGAAAAAAAAAAACTTCTGTTACCGGTTCATCAAAATATTCGTAGTAATGTAATGTAATGAAGGATGAAGCGAAGCTTGATTCTTTAAAACACTGTATTATTTAGTCTCATTGAGTGGTATTGTGTAGGCATTGTTATTTGAATAAAAATTTTAATGAATTTCGAAAATTATTGATGTAAATTTTAATTTAGACTGAGATCGATATAGTGTTCGACAATTCTCGCGGTATCGCGTCATATGAATTCCTCAAAATGGACGAAGTGCCAGATATGGATGACTTGTTAAATGAGCTTGAAGCCGCTGAAACGACCGGGAAGCTAAAGTATGGTGCGAATGACCCGGTAATGAATCCCAGAGTGGTTCCTTCGGATTCTTCCAATGATTTCAATGATAAAAGGAATACTGCACGTGACGATCATATCGGTATCCATTAGTGTTGTAAAATTTCGCCGTATCATAAAAGCACCAAAAAAATCTTATGATAACGCGAGAATATTGATAAATTCTTCAAATGGCATGGGAAATATAATGGGGTGATGAATTAATGAATCAATTACGTCAGATTCCTGATGAATTTCGAAATATTTCAGAAGAAGCTAATAATATAACTACTATTGATATTGAAGCCACAAATGTTCTCTCTGATATTATCACTTGTTTATCAGCGAACGCAAATGACAGTTTGTGCTATAACGTAGAAGCAGAACGGGAAGATATTGCGGTACAAGCTACTGGTATTTTAAAGGATGCAACAAGTGAAAATTCAGTTTCCGAAAACTTTGCTGATTGTAAGAATGATGGAACGAGAGTTAGTTTGCAATTCATTATGCAATCTATGTAAAATAACGGTAAAGAAGGCTTTGAATGGGGTAAAAAAAACCTTTAATTCTGTTTTTTTTTGCAAGTATATGAACTCAAGTACCTATAAGTAAAAGTAACTGTGCAACAATGGAAGAAAATATCTCGTGTAAGTCTGTAGTTAGTAATTCTGTAGTTAGAGATTTAACAAAAAATGAGAATTCAGAGTTTTTTAGCAAAAAATAAAAAAAATGTATTCTAAGCATTATAAATACGTTAGTAATTATGGCTATTTGTTGAACATTTTAATGGTATCGCATTTATTTATATAGTTACGTGAGTGTCAACTTTCTTTAAATGTATCAGATTTTATTTAAGAATATCTTCTCTAATCTGTCTCAAAATAGCTCGATCTGTTTATGCCATAATAAGGCATTCCGTTTTTATTAAGAGAGATTTGTTTCAGGAAAACTTACTCGATTTGTTTTAGGACAGCTTATCGGATCATCCGAGCTCATATTCTGATATTATTCTGGATGAATGCAAAGAAACTAATTCTGGGGAACTTTTCAACAAGGTACTTGTAAATCTCTTAATTTTCAAAACTGTTTGTTTATGGTGCGTGAGATTTGATTCATTGATTGGGTGGAAGAAATTGGTCGTGAGTTTGGTTGTCCCGTATAATGAAGAATGCTGAGAGATATCAGACTTGGTTAATATTTCAACATATTTTTATTTGAATCAAACAAATAGGTTGAGAAAAAAGATTTACAGGTTATCGAAGTGGATAGAATAGCTGAACAGTACGCTGAAATGGAACAATATTTAGACAGGTAAAAATATGACTGATTATGTTGGATCTTAACGGATAATCATATCAATTTTTACAAGATGTAATTATAAGCCGTTTATTTTAGTTATGGAATGAACGACACTTCTTTGGATATCTCGGGCCAGCCACACTTGATAGCTGATAGGGAAGTGGTATTTTCCTCAGCGAAAGAGATTAAAAAAGAAATGAATACTCTAGAAGAAACAGATGAGGGATCTCTTTCTCACGGGGTGGATTCCTATGAGAATTGTCGGTCAGCTTCTAAGTTAGAAAAAGAAACGGATGAAGAAATAAAAGATCCTGTCATTGAAAGAATTATCAGAATTACACTAGCAGTTGATGTAGACTCATCTACCAGTAGTGACGAGCAATCAGTCAATGAGATGCCGCCCGATACATCGGTGGGTGCGGAAGATTTAGGCTTAGATGATGTACAAAAAAATGCTAGCTTATATATTAATGGCAGTACAACATCGACTGAACGTCTGTCATCTTGTTGTACGCAATCGTCTATCGTAGCAGATGTTAAAGAGAGTCAGTTTTTTTTTTTTTTTTTTAATCTTGATTGTCTTTCAGTGTCACCTTTTCAAAAGAAATTGGCCTTATTTAGCGTCTGGTAAACTAAATGCAGCATAGTGAAAGTTTAGTAAAATTCCGGATTTAATTTTATGGAAATGAAAAGTTTGCTGGACATCTGTGCCATAGTTTCAGCTGTCAGTGCAGTCAAGAAATCAGATGAGAATAGAGAATATCGAGGAAATGATAATGAGGAAGAACAGCAGTCGGAATTGATGGAAGATAGTAGTGATAATTCAGTGAGTGAATGTAAGATATCAGTACCGGTTATTGATCAGGTGCAGGCCATCTCTGTAGTTTCGAGTACGCATAATATATCGCATGATCCCGGGGTAAAATATTTGACTGAAAGCGAACGTCAACTTGGAAAGGTATGTTAAATTTTTCAAATTCTTGGTTTTTTTTTTAAAAATTAAGATACAAACGATATTAAGTAAAATTTTAGGCATTCCTTGCAGTAATAATCTTTTTACATAAGTTGTTGGTCTTTAGTTGCGGCAATCTTTATAAATTTTTCATGGGTAACATTTGTGAAAGTAAAAAAAGTTATAATATAAATTTTAATCTTAGTCATTCAATAAAGTATAGCCGATAAGGAAACTTTATCGTGCATATTATGCTGCAATAAATTTACTGTTTTTTGCATATTTTTCAGAAGAAACCAATATGGATAGCCGATAAGGAAACGTTATCATGCATGTTATGCTGCAATAAATTTACAGTTTTCGTTAGACGACATCACTGTAGATGTTGTGGTCGTGTGTTATGTGCTCGTTGTACCACTCAAAAGGTTGTGTATGCTTATCATTAAGTTTATCAGCATTCATCTATTGTTTCACTAAAGTTCACAAAATTTGTTGATAGCGGCTTCTTCGCAGTGTATCATTCTTGGTGTTGAGAAGGTAAGAAGATTTTTCGAATATTACGACAGTCATTGATGTGTGAAATAAAGCTTCAAGTTGACCTTTATTATTATTCAACTATTTCATTTGGATTGCTGATTATCAGAGTTATTAATAACATTTACAAAATTTTTTTATTTTCTTACTGCATGATCTAATTCTTATTTTGGTGTATTTAAATTCTAAGTACGAAAAAATCATTTCAAAAGGTTTTTAGGCATCGTTGTCGTATGTCAATAATCCAAAAAAAGAACACCGAGTTTGTGATCCGTGTTTCGAAACATTAAAACGCATTGAAGAGTCTGAAAAGAACATAAAAGCGGGGTTGGTTTTCCTGATAAAGGATAAAAGATTGTATACTCTGTGAAAGAAGATAATAAATGCATTATGCTGGTAGCAAAAATAGAGGGAATCCTGAGAGTTATTTTCATGCATATTCTCCATCTCTTTAAAATGATCTTCGACATCTTTTAATTCATGATTATTTGTTCTAAATTTTTTTAAGATAGAAAAAGGATTTAGTGATATAGTCTGTATCCTCTCATTCCAGTGATTCGGGAGATACGAATGATTATCATCGTTCATCAGATATTAGTCCGGCTACAAAGCCAGTGTTGAAATTAAGAGGAAAACCAGAAAATTCTATCAGTACTAACAATGATCAAAGCTCATCATCTAATGATGTAGCACACGGTGGTTCTTCAGTAAAACGGAGTGTTACATTCCGCGATGGTCTTCATCCCGGTTACAATTCTAATGAGACTCATACATCAACCGTTGACATGGGTTCTTCAAAACCAAAGAAGGTGTTTCTAAGTCAACTTTGCGAAATTCAGACATGACAGATGTTAATCCTTATTTAATATAAGCTGTTAAAAATTTATGAGTTTTGTGGAATATTTTAATATATTTCACTCTTCTAGTGGTTACTTAAATATAATTTATTATATAGCATAATTCGAAAAGGCATCATGTGTCACGGCGTCTGCAACAACTTCATATCACTGAAGAATGTGTATGTCTTTTGCCTGGTGGTTGCTTAACTTCTTCTGATACCGAGAAAACATCAACTGTTGATAATCGACGTGGAACCATCAACTCTCTATATCTGCGAATTAATGATGGTACCATAAAGGAATGTGATAATATTCAGGAACAAATAAGTTCGTTGAAAAATTTTGAGTCTCTTGAAATAATGATTTTCCGAAATTTATGGTGCAGCATCAAGTTGTGTAAATGTGAGTTTTTTTTGTCAATTTTTGAGATTTTCTGTTCAGTTAGACTTAAGCAATTATCATCTTTTAATCTGCGAAACTTTTATTCAGTACCTCTATCTTTCGTTGATTAAAAAGGGATTCTTTAACTTGAAGTATGAAATGATTTCAGCATTTAAAGTTATCATTAAACACCGATTGCTACTAGCTTGATTTTTATACCTTTGAATTTTGTAAATTAATCGAAACTTATGAATCAGATAAATAATCTTTATATTATTGATATTATTATTAGTTGCATATATTTGTTGTTTGTGCAGTTGGTTTGAAATGTCTGTGAAGTTTCAAATTTGGACAAAACTTAGGAGTTATTAGAGCAGTTTGTTTTATCCACTTTAACAAATTAAATGAGGCAAAAATTGCAGATGAAAACAAGAATGTCATGTGTATTATATCGAGAGGAATGTCATTTGTTGGATTGGATGAAATCTTTCTTGCTTATTACTGTGACACGGAACTCATCGAATTACCAATCGATTATCTGTGGAGGGTGATGTTTTTTTTTTTTTTTACGTATAATGCAACGCCATGTGAAGATGCATAAGCGAGAGAAATGTTGAATAGCTTTTTATGGATAGAAAGTTATCGGGGATAGGGTGAGTGTTCTGTGAAAATGTAACGGCTGAAAATGATGAACGATATTTTGGTAGCTGACTCATTTAGTCCCTTATAGATTTACGAAATTTATCAGGATGCATTGACTCCCCGTAATGAGTCATCAGATGAAGAATTGGGAATACGATTAGCACACAACCGTGTTCCAGCACTGAATCGGACAGCCCGGTTTTCAAATTTTGAGAAGCCGGTAGCAAGAGACATACTTTTATTTAAACCATCTGTTCAGGTTGTATCGATGCTAAATCCTTTTTATTTTACTCTAATTCCAACTTTGTTAGATAATCTGATATCGTTCCATTCTATTCTTACCGCTCATTTTACGTGTATAAAGTAAAAGGTTTTACTATTAAACTACAGCATATGTTTGAATTGTGAGATAATATAATTTTTCAAACAGTCATTCTTTATCGGCATTTAAAAATATTTGGATTTGTAGAGGAATTACGAGTTTCAAAACAAGCTGTTTTAGTCATTTAAAAACCTCTTGGTGCCTTCTTCATCATTTTTGGTTGCAACATTCATTTATCAGTCTGAGTCGATTTGGGCAAGTGTGATACCACAACGACTTCTCTTTAGAATTGGTCTTCAATCTTCATGTACGTCATTAGCAATGCATTAGAACTCACCGATTTCCTTTCGTTATTTTTCATAGTACTTCGGGATAGCCGTGTATGAGCTTCTTGACGATTCGTTCTGACTGGTTAGGTCCGTAAGTACTTTGGATTACCTTACTTTTTTAAAACTTTGTAGAATATTTTTCGTAATTCTTTTGCTTATTTTCCATTACTCGTAGTGCCATAAGTTGGTGAGTTCGGGTATTGCCGAAAGTCATTTTTTTTTTAAAGTTTCTGTAACTTTACAGTTAGGATCCTAACAAACATTCTTGAACTATTGCTATATTAGTATGAAAATAATTTTACCAGTATGCATTTTTCACCGTTGTTTTAGTTTATCCTACATCAATTATAAATGACTTCAATCGGGAACCAGTGTATAATTCAATATTTGATACAAGTGTCTTGAAAATGTTTAACGATTTTCGAAATTGGCGTTTTCAAATGCCTCTTATATCTGGTAGCACGTTAACGGTACATGATAACAGCGAATCTATCCTAATTATCCCAACTTGGGCATTAGAAGAGGTTTGGTTTATTTGCTGTTCTTTTTTTTAATTTTACTACGTGTTTCTTTTCCAGCATTCTTCTATACACATAAAATGAACTCATTTTGTACTGTATGAAGTATGTTACGTAAGTAACTGCATCATGTAGTTTAGCTCATTTTTGATTTATGCTAATGATGTGAATAGATATAGATATGGATCTAAAAAAGTTTTTGATCTAAGAGGCATCACTAATAGAAATTTTCTGTCCACAAAGAGTAATAACGTAGCGGCGCTTTGTACTTATCAAAGTATTAACTTGAAAATTTTTGTATTCGAAAAGGGATTAGCAAAGCACTCAGTAAATTTGATGTTTCTGTCTGGCCAGACTTTTATATTGACAGAGATATTGATTAATTAGAGATTTTGATCAGTGCGAGTAATAGATTTGTTAAATACACGAAAATACTGGACATATATAGTATAATCCATCTAGCGAAGTATGGGAATTTTTGTAGAGCTGATTAATTATTAAGTTAGTTTTTAGATTATCAAGTTGATCGAGGCAAATAAAAATATGGTCGCGTGGGGTCTTGATTTTAGTTCTGATGCTGATAGCTATCTTGTTTGCAAACAGGATAGTGCTGGTTGTTTCAACTCACAAATTTTCACAAGTGGTATCGGAAATCGGAAAGGTATTTGGCAATTGCTTTTTCCTCCCAATTTTACAAAATAATAACTCATATTGCAGTAACTGGCGCTTCTTTTATTGTTATTGACGGAGCTTTGAAAGATAGCGGAGAGCCATTTACCATGAATGTTTTGGAAGTAAGTTCATTTGTGAAGATATAGAAAATTGATGTGAACTTCTGATTATTTTTAACTATATTTTTTTGTAGACTAAATAATGCAATGATTTAAATTGAGATAGGAAGAAGGCATTAGAAAATTATTTCACTATGCAGTTTAAAATCTTGTTGGGTTCTTATCTCCAGCCGTTCGGCTTACAACTTAGAGAATTAAACGTCCAACTTTAAAACAATTTTTTTTGGAGGACGGCATGACAATTCGTTTTCGATCAGATATAATGGAATCAGTTATTGAAGCACTTTCGGTCGGACAGGATTTTGAACAAAATTCATCTGCAATGAAATTTTCAATTAAGTGGGATGATGGTTCATATACACAACAACTCATTGGTGGATTGATATCACCAATTGATAATCGTTCATTAATTGTTTGTTGCTCTGATTTATTCGGCACATTATTGTGAATTTATCATTTATTATTGCGGATTTTAATATTAATGTTAACACTACCAACAGCCCGTGTAGGGACTGCACTAAATACCATATTTTGAGCGCTTTTGTTAGAATATCTATGTGATACATGATTATTATATTTCCTGATAAGATTTTCAGAGGTACTTCACACTTCAGAATTGATCATTGTAGGGTTGTTATCAATACGGTTTGAAAAAATCAAGAATTTTGGGATCATCATATCTAATACCGAACCAAGTGTATTGGTCCCTTAGGCTAGTCAGTGTGTACAATATTGGAAAAGGCCGATTCGTCCAACGCGTTCAATCAAAAGTTTTCAGTGTCAGTGAACAGGTCACTGCGCAAATTGCGACAACACTGGTACCTTTCACTGCAGCTCTCATAGAACATGATTTGAGGTTTGTCTTGTTTTTTTATTAATTCTTTTTCAATTCGTATAAAAATTAAAGAGACTGAACGAAGCGTAAGTGAATTATTTTCCACCAACTTCTAAAAATTAGATTCAGACATTTCCCCTTACAAGGACATAATAGTAGTGGCTAAATCTCGGTACTGGTCGAAGAGACTTCAAGTGAACTATAAGGCAATTATCCCTTATTAGTTGGTAAAATCAAGAATCCTAATAGCGAAGATTAATGAAATAGTTTATTAAATTCATTTCATAAGCTTTTTTCGGGAAGCCTGTAAAAATGTTACTGGTAATCTAAGACATACGGTCTACTGAATGACCATTCTGATTACGCGACTGATTTGGTTGAATTATATAAAAATATACTGAATCCAGATATTTCTTTTTCAGGCATATCTTTTTCCGTATTCGCGTTACTTCAGAAGATGCTGAATATAAGACACAGCCTTGGCCTGGCATGGAAAAGGAATTTGCTGCATGGTTGGATTTTCTCGACTATCAGGTTTGCATTGATAACTTTTGTTAACAACAATGTTATAAGATCTTTTCTAATACATGGCTAAAATCAGACGATAGTTTTAATTTGTAAATGTCTTTATTTCCTGATGCGTGTATATTTTTAAAGTCCATACTGCGATTTCTAAGAAATATGTTGATATTCATTTACTTCTGTTGTCTTAACTATGGACTTATTTGCAGGTAGTACCAGGCTTATTTACTGTTTGTTCATATGTAACAGTCGGGTTTCATGCTGAACTTCATATGGCTTTGATTTCAATCCGACCAAACCCATAATATTACTCTTTCTCTAATTCTCTCTATAATGCTACTCGATAAGCAACTGGAGCGCAAAACTGGTGTTATATTGGTTGATGGTGAATGTTAATGTTGGTTCAGTGAAATATCTAACTTTAAAACCGACTAAATTGCTAGTATAATTTTGAAATCAATTGATTAAATTCCGATTCTGATTTACGTTTTTATCTCAAAATTTGTTTGCTTGTTAATTTGTTTATTTTTTCTCTCCCAATATATGGAAAACGATTGATTGAAAAAGGGATATTTGCTGTTAACTATATCTTATATATTTACGCATAATCTTTCTTCTTTATTATTGATTCCTTGTTCGCTGTCAAATTTTAATCATCTTTTTAATGAATATATAATGCTTATTTTATGTACAAAAGAAATTGTTCATTTCATTTTAAATATTACCATAGGAATGTATGTCATCTTTTCCTGCAAAATAATGTCTATTATGCATTCCACTTGTAGTTTCTTATATTATTGAAATATAAAAATTACTGATTGATTTGGGAAACTTATCCGAAGTAAGAATCCAGCAATCTAATATTTTTTTCTACAAATGATATTAAACATTCTACGGCAAGAAATTCCTAATGAATTTTTTTTTTAAAATAGCCAAACGTAAGTGTTATTTTCTTACATCGTACAATAAATAAGAGCAGCATGAATACGTTGAATGTGAAGGTTTTAGGACTGGTTTTTGCTATGAATTACCGGATTATTGTTTCTTCTTGTTGAATCACAGTTGTTCTAGCTTGGACCACCGATTATGCTTGAACATCTCGTTTGAACATTCCACCTGCTCATAAGGTGGATAATCGTAATTATTATTCATTTTATTACATTTCCACATATTACCCCAATGGGCAAATATCAAACGGCATGGAAGTTGTTCGGGCATCACCGAATGATGCGTTACAAGCATAGGTATTGATGGAAAATATTTATTGGAACCCTGTAAATTTGGAAAGTTCAAATAATACATTTTGAAAGCTTCTGATAAGTTATTCGGATTTTTCATGACGAAGATAATGTTTTCTTTGAAATATCAGAAATGAAATAATACCCTTAATTTAAATCCATTATCGTTTCGGATGATCAGATAATGTGATACACCAGTTGGATTGTGCCTAAACGGTACTCGAACACTCAATGCCAGACATTTTCGCTTGGATTCAGAAAAACGAACAACGAATGCTCCTTCCGGTTGCTCCAATAATGCACTTATGATTCGATTCCTGTAATAAATTTTTTATTTCAAAATTCCAATCATTTATACTACAAAGGAATCAGTGCAGTGATTTGAGAAATAATTCACATAAAAATGTCAAATGCATGCATGAGATGATGCCAGATGTTTCGCGATATAATTATTAATCATTGATTATTATGACTCAGTCAAAGTAATAAATAAATTGATTAAAGTGATTATTAATTATACATTTCAATTGCAAGCCATTAATTCATATAATTCACTTTTATTTTTTGAACCACTTTTGATTATTTAACAGAAATGTTTAAATAATTTCTGTTGTTAAATTTATGATTACCGATTTCAATTACTGTTTATTGTTTCAATTATTGCTCGTTTTCAATGAGCATAAAATGTAAAAGTCAAGCGAATAATTTGCATAAACTATAAAATGTCATTAATTGCTCAAATCCAACATTATTGCTTTGTTGCATCATAATATTAGTAGCCATTTCTCACTGACCGATGCACTGTTTTGCAGAAATATGCGACCTGTTCCAATTGTTTCTCCAATGTTTCATCAATCGGATAGATCCATTCTGTCCTATAAATATTTTCAATTTTTATCATTTTTGAGAAATAAATTGAAAATGCAATTTTGAAAATTAACTGTGACAATCCGAAAATTTGAAATGAAAATTTAACAATATTTTGTTCATTTATAGAAATTTTCATATTATTTAAGAAACAAATAACGAAATAATGTGCTATAAATAAAAAGATGGTTGACTGGTAGCAAGAACAAAATTTCCAAAAAAATGAAGGAGTTTAAAAATATTGGAAAAAATGAAAACAACAGAGATGAGTTGCAGTTTTTTTTGTTTTTTGAAAGAATGCAAAATGCAGTTAAATACTTTTCTTTAAAGCTTCCATAAATTTCCACTGGTAAAAAAAGAACACTTTTGCATCATTTTTTCATAGTCCTTTTTTGTTTTCCAAAGCTTCCAATTCAATGACCTATTTAATTGATTTTTGAAAATTTCGATTATTTCAGGTCTTCAATTATTCGCTTAAAATTCTGGCCTTAGAAAAAATGACTTTCTTGGAAGCATATTTTCATTAATTTTTCATTTTTATTTTCTTGAAGAGGAAAACTTACAAACGTTCATCGTAGCATAATGATAGTGTTGTTTGAGTATGACGAATTGGACGAATTACTTCTTGTATATGCTGAAGGGATTACATAAGAGATTTGAAAATTTCTTTTCCAAATATTAATAGAATTAAAAAATTTATTTTGATTACATTTTTACTATTTGATTTAAACTAGCAAATTTTTTTCTAAATGTAAAAAAAAAAGATTTAAATAAAAAAGCTTCCAATATATATCTATGAGGAAGGCTTCTTTTTTTATTGATTAGGAAGAAGCAGATCAAATGTTTGATTGAAATTATAATTACTGTAAAAACCTGTGGTGTTAAAATGTGTTGTAAGTTGGCAGAGAGACGATTATGCGATTTTGTTGTAATAGGTGTTGATGATGATGGTTGACAAATTGATACGGGCCTTTCCAGCTTTCGTGGTGTATCGGTTGATGAAAACTAGAAATGATATTTAAATATGTTCGTACATATTTGTATTGATTTTTTTCTTCTAGAAATTAAAAACTACATTTGATACAATTGATATCCAAGCAGACATCATGTCTTGGAACAATGATGCAAATTTATTTTTGCTATATTCAGTTACAGTAACTATCGGAATAGAATGTATTATTATGTCAGCTGGAAGCTAGAAAAGATCGTACAATAAACTTAGGAAAGTTTCGAATGATATAAACTATGTAAGAGTTAATTAAAACAGTGATTGCAAAGCAGAAAAATTAGTTCAAGTCCATTTGACTCATTATTCTTAAAATTTAAAATTTAGTTTCGGAAACTTGAAATTTTAGTTGATATAAAATTATTTGGACTTTTGCCTAGTTTTTTAGAGTTGAGATAAAAAAATAAAACATGTTTACAATTGCAATTCATTGGTTCATTCACGTTTTTTGACTAATTAAATGAAAATGTCTCTGTCATCAATTAACCAATGGAAAATGATATTTCTAATGAATTTCTTCTAATGAAACTGTCATTCTAGTTAATATTTCGAAACTAAGCACAGCTACATCAGAATTGAAAAATATTTCGTTAACAAAAGAAGAAAAGAAATTCTGTAGTATGTTAAGCGGCAGGTAATCAATTAATAACTAATTCTTAAGTCAAAGTTAAAAGATTTCAATCTAAGAATCAGTTGATTAGTTAAAGATAATTTGAGGATTAGAAAAATGGTCAGAAAAAAATTGATGAAAGTGATAAAAATATCTCTAACAAATATCATTCACAACAATTTGGGTATAATTTTAATAAAAAAGTTTTTATTAAAATTATACCCAAATTTTTAAATCAAAAAAATGAAGATTTTTAAATTAAAAAAATATTCCATTAAACCATCCATTACATATTTAATTTGATTATTTATACTGCAAATTAAAATTTATTCAAAAATTTATTCAATTTTTCTTCATTTTTTCAAAAAAAATTATTTCAATGATGATTTTTATAAATTACAAAAAAGACTTCATCTGATATATCATCTGTACAGCAATACAGTACAACTGTATACAAATTATATTAAGGTTACGTGTGGTACTAATGCTATTAGTGTCATTTGTTGGCATAAATAGTGCCTTAATCAAAGGAAATGATATTGCCATTCATCTTTATCAAGAAAAATAGATTGTTATCAATGTAAAACAGTACTTTTGGGAAATTTAAATTGTTTGT